CAAGTAGTCGTTTTGGGGCGTACGGTGTTGATGATAAAGACACACCGAAGTTAGAGCAAAAAGATGTCATATCCTATAGCATCAAAATCCAGACATTTGATGAATAATAGGATATGATTTCTTTTACCGACATAAGTCTAGCGGGAGTTGGCTTGAGCCTCCTCAGTCGGTCGACGATCCTATGCCTGACAGTGTAATCGTCTTGTGGACAATAAAAATTGCTAAAATCTATTTCAAAATATAAAATACATTCTTCTTTATAAAACAAAATTTGATAATCTTCTTCAAAATTTATGTGTGTGTCAAAATATAAATTTCAAAATATGTTTTAAAATACGTTGTCCACCCGACGAATACCTGTTTAGGCTGGGAAATAGCCCCCTAAGTGAGGTTCAAAACACCCTTCTAGACGAGTGGTGGGTTCTATACGTTCGGGTGACCGAGTAGCCTTCGTGGATCCTCGAGAATAAATATATCTGAGCCTAGTTCCATACGAGTGCTTGCGGTCCTCCTCATCCGAATTTTGTTTCTTTGTTTTATCGAAGTTTTGGGACGGAGCACTCGTGTTACTTTTCTTTTCTTTCGGGATTTCCCCAGGAGTTTTTGAGGATTTTCTTTTACTTGTTACTTAAGTCTTTTTCGTCGAGTTTCTCGAGTTTTTTCGCTTTTTCTCGGATTTCTTGGACGACGCTTTCTTCTAGATTTTGTTTTTGGAGATGTATTTAGGTTTGCTATACTAAGGGACAGCGGATCTCACAGGCATACAAATTTGCTTTAGATTTTACAGTACTTAATTTTCCTGTTTCAACCTGCTACTGCTCTTCTTATACAACATGTTACACTTGTCCTGTTTCTACCTGCTACTTCTCTTCTTATACAGCATGTTACACTTGTCCTGTTTCTACTTGCTACTATTCTTCATGTATAGCATATTGTACTGCTCCTATTTTACTTACTACTGCTCCACTTGCATGCTACTGTTCGTTCCTGCATCGCGCATTTTACATCTT